TCATTTTACTTTTTATTTTCTCATTCTTTTTTTCACCCCCCCCCCGCTTTTTGTCTCATTCTTTTTACTTTTTTTTTTTTTTTGCCGCCCATACAGAAGCGCAGTCTGGGACAATTCACCCGTATTGCCTCCTATTCGGTTCTCCAGTATGGCAGAATCATGTGTCTTAAATCTCTCTCACAGGAAAACGACGATGGCACAAGACTTGATGCTGAGGGACATGTCCTCAGCATAAAATGTTTTGCATTTTGAAGTTATGCGTATTGAAAGTACTTACAGACGCTATCAGATGAGTCTAACTGCAAACTGGACTGACAGAGATCTACCATCGCATAATGTGCTAGCAGATCTTGGTCTGTGCAGTTTCTGGAGTAATCTGTAGTACAAACAACATGGACCCAGAACTGCAGGCGCACTATGCTACGGTAGATCGGGATCTTTGCTGTTTGCAGTTTCACCGAACTTGTAAATGAATGAATACAGTATTAAAGAAAATACCTCATAAATATGATGTTTATAACCAGCTAATGTATTTTATGCGAATGTTTTCACTCTTCATTGGCCCTCACCGAAAAATGTAATGCAATTTTCGACACACGAAGAAAAAAAAATGCAGCACAAGACAGACGAAATCTTGTATATTCTGCATTATTCCAAGACATTGTTACATTGCCTTTAGACGTGTGAAGTGATTAGCAGGCATCTCGCGATTTGTGTGTGTGATCGAGATAATATGGGTCAAGAGTCAATCAGAAAGGATCCGATAATACAACCGTACGATTGTTCAAAATTGCCTTTATACTGTTTTATGTGGCAAGTTCTTTGCAATGCACACGCGTTTTATGTCAGAAAGAGAACGTATCACTTGATACTTCTCTCGTACTTAAGATACCGCGGATATAAAACAGCGAGAAACCAGTCTGTATCTGTTAAGCGACGCGATCAATGTTCTTTAGTCTGTGCTAACAAAACGGGGGTGGTGGTAAAACAACCGGAAGATCTTCAATTCCAAGACAGATATTGGCCATTTGCGTTTGATGGTTTGTTCAAATAATATCAAGCATTGTTTAAACAAAGATCAGGGCAAACTATTTTTTTCCAGAGCTCAATTTATGCTTCCTACCTTTTCGTATATTGCTATTAATATATCTGATAAAGTGGAGATGTCCATGTTCAAACGCCTAAAAAATATTTAGTCATCATTTTTAGTTACACGGTGTCATAAGTTCTGTTGGTGATGGTTTGGGGATATTTATAGTTTAAATATGTTTACAGTAGCGTATTGACGGGGCTGAGGTGTGGGCTGTACGGTAGGTTGCCCCGAGCACCAGAGGACTTGAGTCACCAAAACCCCTTTGGATCTAAATCTTAGCCACGGGCGCTATGTACCCTTAGTACATCACTGTATATTTAAAAACATTTTTAAATAGAATTCTAACAAGCGTCTAATATATATTTTGAGGAAATTTACTGCAATATGTACATTATATAGGCGTGGATGTTAACTGGTTTAATTCGTTTTTGAAACGGCTTTATCGTGCTAAAAATATACCATTGAAAAAATTTAGCTTATACAGTTTAAATTCTGCTTTGTGCCGAAAGTAGTTATATTTAAGATTACTTTAACTGGCATTCTGAGAGATGCTTAATAAAAGGAGAGCAAGAAATATCGAAAGTTAGACACGATTGACAGTTCTGTGCACAAAAAAAACTTCATTAGTATGTTTCCTTTTCTTAACCATTGCACCCAAGCCACACAAATAAACTATTAAATGATTCATATATGTTGGCACCTTATAAACTGAATATTAGCCGAATGTATGATTGCCGTACGCAGGACATGTCATTTGGCAAAATGTGACTCAATTGCGTAAACATTAATCCTTTTGGGATGGTCAATTAATACAACCAGGAAAGAACCCTTCAAATGAAATAAAGAGGATAAGTTTTTACACGCTGTGCTTCAGTTAAGGCTTTTCGTGTTGATACCTGTTCCGTATGCTGATCTATTAACTGATCTGGTTGCCTAAGTGGTTAGAGAGTCGCTTCAGATGCGTGAGTTTGCAGACTCGAACCATGTCGTACCAAAATCTTATAAATTGGTACTAGCCGCTACTTCGCTTGGTGAGAGGTTGGTGTTAGGACAGGTCTGGTGTCAGGAAAATGTGACGGTGGGACATAGTGTCACATCTTGCCGTATGATGCCCCAGTGTTAAACTTGTTGTAAAAGATGTTGCATAAGTATATATATATATATATATATATATATATATATATATATATATATATATATATATATATATATATATATATATATATATATATATATATATATATATATATATATATATGTGTGTGTGTGTGTGTGTGTGTGTTTGTGTATGTATGTATGTATGTATGTATATATATATATATATATATATATATATATATATATATATATGTGTGTGTGTGTGTGTCTATATATATATATATATATATATATATATATATATATATATATATATATATATATATATATATATATATATATATCCAGAAACACGTTGGAATATCTACCATATGACACATAGCCCTGTTGAATTATCGCATTTCTTATTTAATGACTGCCGTTATTAAACGTTGGTTAAGATTATTAGGTTTCAATGTATTTAAAACCCCAGATATTAACAGAGGTACATATATCGCGAAACTTTCATGTTTATCTAGGTCGATTTTTTTATGATAGATGATGATAATTGACAATGATGGATAAATATGGGTGAAAAGAAAACAACGATTATAGCTGGGCGGTTGGTAAGAAATTGACGTACGAAAAAATGAGAGCACTGAAACACAACAAAACAAAACATAAATGTCCATCAATATATATATATATATATATATATATATATATATATATATATATATATATATATATATATATATATATATATATATATATATATATATTACATTAGCCTGTGTTTGTGTTTATATTTTCATTTTGTTTGAGAGTCTTTCATTTTTATCTATTATAGTGATATCGCACCAATATCTGTCGTATTGCATTTATAGTGATATGTAAAAGTTATGCGACTAATTTTTAATACAAGTGTAATTTATATCTCCATGACATAACTGACATTTTCTGGCAACCCTCCGTTTTTGTTAACACTCAGTTTTTATTTATGTGGAAGAAGATACTGACGATGCACTACTGGATCCCAAAACTGTAAAATGTTGAAACATGGTACATGGTGTACACCTGGACATTGGGCTTAAAAAGGGATGTGTAATTTAATTCGAAAAAAGATCCAACAATTCGTAAATTGATGAAACAGGGAATATGGTTTACACCTAGACTGCGGGTGTTTAAAGGGAAGTGTGAATTGATTTGAACAAGTTTATGTTAATAATTTTTTATCTAGTTTGCCACAGGTTATTTATTCATCTTGTGTGACTGAAGCAATTAGATGTAAGAACAGTGAAGGAAGGCGCTATTGTTTTCTTTCACTCGAGCGAGTTACAAAAGCGTGAGTGATATTAATTTAAAATAAGTAATACGAACCCTTGCAATAATCAGGTAGTATTTTCTTCACTCGTTAAAGTAAGCGAGGCGCGTTTTCAAACAATTCTCAACCTTAGGTTGACTCAAATAGCTTTTCAACGCATCCTCGTGGGTGTCCAAACGTTGCGAATGGCTCCGTGGATAGGAACGCAAATAACAGACTGCTTGTTGAGCTATTGCAATTGGACTACCGTACAGATCAATAGAAGTGTTTTAAAACTGTATTGGCGGCGAGTCTGACTAGGCCTGCTTGCATATATGTTGTTTTTCTTAGAGGAGGCGCAAAACACAAAGTTATTTTTTCGACGGTAGAGACTGTAAAAAAAAAACCGGCTCGGTGTTATTACTGTTTGTTCTTTTGTCGAGCTGCCATTAGGAATGACAATCATAGGGCGTTAGACCAAAAATAAAAAGGAGAGGTGGATCTGGTTTGTCAATTATTATGAGCGTCTCAGTTATTATGATCGTTCCCGGTAGATGAGACCCTGGAAATATATCACGAATGCAGCCGTTTCAATATATAGTGATACGGAAGGATTGGATTTGTCGGTCGTATTGGATATGTGCTTCTGAGTTTTTCCAGAAACGGGTACTATATTCCTCCATTGTCATGTAGGTAAGTAACCATAGCATACATTGATAAGTAATCATTTATTGTTTTATTTATTTTGTTGTCTGAGATTATTTTCAAAAGAGGGAGTCCCGTTTTGTTGATATTTCCTTTTTTTAAACGCAATCTTTTCTTGTTTAGTTCGCTGTTTTATTTGTTTATGCCTGCTGGATGACGTTTTTGCTTTAGGCAAACTAAGTCATCTGGCAATTACGACTCGGAGAGGCAGCAAACTATATTCTTTCACTGTCGACTGTTTTGCGGGAGTCTATAATACATAATTTTGCGATTGGTTTCAAGGAAAGGTATTTATAGGCGGTGGCACAAGTTTTACAGAAATACACAATATTGTGACCACAGACCGTTGCTTTTGTCTGCTTCTACACTGTGAGAGTAGTCAATCAAATTCAGTAATTCAGTATCGAGATACATTCTAGCCAAGAACTTGATCAAGTCTCTTTGGTATAAATCTCCTTTAGATTGCTTTGTGCATCACAATTTCTGTGTTCATACGCACAGAAACTGTTTGAGATAAACTATAATATAGTCTTTTCGTACATGTTTAGCAACATATATCTATTCAGATAAGGTATGTGTGTACGTGTGTGTGATTTGTATTTTTAACGGAACTTTAACAATTTTCAGTCATATCGCTACGATGTCTGCAGTGTGACAGTTTTGGTGATGTCTAGCACTGGGGCATCATGCCGCAGACATGTGGCGTCATGTCCCACCCAGTCACATTATCCTGACAGCAGGCCGACCAGTCCTAACACTAACCTCTTAATGCTGAGTGAATAGCGAGGTAGTTGTTTGTATCATTTTAAATAAGTCTTTGGTATGACTCAGCCGGGATTTGAACCAACAGCCTCTCGCATCCGAGGCGGATGCTCTAACCATCAGGCCACATGATGGTACCAGCGCGATCCATTCAGATGAGATATTGTTCTGACTAATCATATTTTTAAAATCTACTGATGGATATAATGTCTTATAATAGAGATGAGGATCTCCTTGGCAGATAAAAGAAAGATTTCTTTAATAAAAATTGTTTAAGTTGATGTGATTGCAATAAAATATCCAACCCCATAATGAAACAAGAACAAAATAAACAAAGAACATCAAACGAAATCAACAACAAAACAAAAACATTAAAATGTCATATGCGTTATTATAGCGCAAAGAATTTTTAATCTCAAAAAGAAGATATATGTTTCAATAATTAACATCAAGTACTGTCAGGGTGTATATTTTACATTGTGTGTGTACCATATATATATATATATATATATATATATATATATATATATATATATATATATATATATATATATATATATATATATATATATATATATATATATATATATATATAACAACGATAACACCATGGCTTAGACACAAGTGACTATGTGAACAGTTATCAGCTGTGATCGCATCCAAACTTCATATTTTTTAGGCACAGCGTTTATACGATGGTTCCAAACAAGCAGTATTTTTAAAAATATCATGAACGCAATTATGGTGATGTTCTTGAATCTCTTTAAAATACTTTCCTGTTTTTCTCTACCACTGTTACTGACTCTGGTCACATTAACCGGTTAATGCGTATACTTTAATATTAGGTTGTAAACAATCTGTACAAAAAAGAAACCAGTCTATACACCGTACATATTTACTCTTGCTTCCACTGTCTTAGATTATAAAACTAATAAAAGTCTCCAGATGTGATAACTGTAATAAATGTCCTTAGATGTTATGGTTGTTGTAAATGTTCTTTGCTGTTTAAATCCTTAGATGGCATAACTGTATAACTGCCTTAGTTAATTTAATGGCAGTATATGCCCGTAGCTGTTGCAGCAAATGTCCTTAGATTTTATAAATGTAATACATTTTACCATATTAAATGTCCTCAGAGGTTATAACTGTAATAAATTTCCTTAGATGTTTAAGTGCAGTAAATGCCATTACAGGTTATAACTGTAATAAATGTCCTTATATGTGTTGATTGTAATAAATGTATTGAATTGCTATATCTGTAGTAAAAATTATCTGGTATAACTGTAAGGAATGTCCCTACCTGATATAACTGTAATAAATATACTTAGCTCCTATAACTTCAGTTAAGGTCCTTATGTGTTATAACTGTAATAAATGCCCTTAAATGTTATCATTGCAATAGCTGTCCCCAAATCATATAACTGTTAGAATCCTAGGAAAGTCGGTCGTACATAAATATAATGAAAAGCTTAAGTTGTTTTTTTTTTCTACAGGAGAAAATATTTAAGCATATTTGTTTTAAAAAATGTCTCGTTTTTATCAGAAAAATTAGGAAGTCAATCATTTGATTGCCATTTGAGCTAAGAGTCTATCAAATTAAACTAAACCACGGTTATCGAACTGTCGATAGTGCAGTATATGTGTCAACAAATTTTATTCTGTGTCAACGATAATCTACAGTTCACACGTTTTAGCATTTAACCGTTATTTTCATGAGTGTAAAGTCAAGTTAAAAGCCATTTGCATAACCGGTATGCAAACGTTTCAATAAATTACTCTTTTAGCTCAAATATATATCCAATAAAACACATTTCAAAACGATTATCTTTCAAACGTCGTTTTATTTTCAATGAAATGGCCAGAAAAGACACTATTGGTTCTTAACTTTATTATCATATTTGCTGATGGATAGACTCTGTATCCTTATCAGTTTTATTCCTACTTTATTCAGATTGTAACGGTTTTTGATAGCTCAGATGAAATAATATTGTATTGCATTGTATGTGTTCAATACAAGTCTTTGTATTTTAAATATCAATTATATTGTGATTTTACATAAGAGCCTAGTATTATGGTGTCACTCACCAGTTATTATGTACGTTTGAGAGCGTGATGAATGTAAGGTGAAATTATTTGCTTTTTAAACATGCAGAGTGGAGAGAATGTTGGAATACCTATATGATACTTTCATGTAATGTGGTTGACATTTCTTTGGATAGTGTACATTTTAAATTGTAAATGATCTTAGCACACTGCTAACTAAAATAACTATTGCCTTGTGCTCCAAAAATAAACCTGAATTTGTCTAAAGTACACTATTTTTGGCAGCTATTATAATAGAGAAAATGAATTTTGCAAGACTAGACAATACCCGCATATGAAAGTGCAATGAATTAATTACCAAATGCATTAAATGTACAGATATGTTATTGGCTCTGTGTTTTAAAATTTACCTCTGAATCTCGGCAAGTGAAAATGAGCAAGTAGAGCTAGCACTTTCTTGAAAGGTGCACATCTGGAGTAAGGCCAAGCTGTATACTCTGTAACCCATATTACACCCATCAATCACACACCATAAAAAAGGAAATTAAAGCTTCGTTGAACAATACTCAAGATATACGAAGTATTTCTTAAATAGTCAGTTTAACTAGTAAGGAGATCCGGGGAAATTATTTTTCTTTAAAATTTCAACCCTATGCTTTGTATGTGCAATATCATTTTCTACATTAGAGTCTACTATTATACATAGTTTTACTTTTGAATATGTGTCTAGTGTCATGCGATAAGCAAAGACAATATTATTATTGTGTCATTCTTAGACATTGCATGTCGGTGTCAGACATTACTTATTGTTGTATAACATTTCATTGACTGCATTTTGTCCTGTATTATATTGTTTGATCAGACCTAAAGGAGTTAAACTACATTTTTCAAATCACAATGTAGATTTACAATTTGAATACAATTCGAAATCTGTAGTTTCGTTCGTGCAGAAGGTGTTACGCAACATTAAGTAGTCGCTTGTGCAGGGACGGGGCGCGATAAAGTTATAAAGTTATTTTGCACCGTATAAAATAGCACCGTATAAAGTTATTTTGTTTATTTTTTTTTTATATTTTTTTGGTCTTTTTCGGGGAAAGCGAGGAGAAAAACTTGTTAGGAGCTGGGTTGTTTTCGGGGAAAGCGAGAAGAAAAAGCTTGTTAGGAGCTGTTTGTTGTTGTCTGATACGGACGACGGAAAATTATAGTCTGCAAGTAGGATAGTAAGGTTATGAGGGGTATAAGGCTGATTGGAGGGACGGTTCCTCGGCTGGTGCTCCAGTATGAATTAGAGGACCCTAATAAGGGTCTACAAAATATGAGATCCTATGGCTGTAGTCATATTAACCTATGGGGTAATCTGTCATAGAAGGGCAGTCTACTTCAATTGCAATAGCACAATAGACTTGGATAGTCACACTCCTAAAATGGATAAAATCTCACTTTTCCATTTGATTTAGGTCTCACGTTTTTCATTCATGTAAATCTCACGTTTTCCCTGTATATAGGTCTCGCATTTTCCATTGATATAGCTCTCGCGTTTTCCTGAGCACAGGATTTTTCCATACGTAATATGCTCGTTGGTTGGTAAGATTATGAGTGATCACTCCGATGTGGAGGTAACAATGGTAGAGCATCTCCCAACCTGAAGCACACATATGTAAATATAGCCTATCTATATCAACTCAGATTTTGTATGCAATGCTTTGGTAAAATAACAAGTAATAGTCTGACTTTTTTTTCTTAAAAAAAAACAAGCTCCATCAGTCTTACAGTATGTAATCTTGCAGCAGGAGTATCTATAGGCCAATAAAAATCCTCTCTTGTACATAGTATGTTTTATGCCAGTAAAAATCCACTCCTGTAGATATTGTTTTATGCCAGTATAAATCCACTCCTGTATATAATGTTTTATGCTTGTATAAATCCACTCCAGTGTATGTGCTGTATTCCATTTTAATATATTTCCATTGTATTTATAGGTTGTATGCCAGTATAAATCCATTCCTGTGTATGTGTTTTATTCTGTTTTAATCCACTCCTGTGTATTTATAAGTTGTATGCTAGTATAAATCCATTCCTGTATTAATGAGATGCATACCATTATAAATCCACTACATATACTGGAATGTATACCAGTAAAAATCCACTCATCTAGATATTGTTTTATGCCAGTATAAATCCACTCCAGTATGTAAGCTGTTTTATGTAAGTATGAATCCACTCTTGTGTATGTGTTGTATTCCATTATAATCCACTCATGTGTAATTATAGGTTGTATGCCAGTATAAATCCATTCCTGTATTAATGAGATGCATACCAGTATAAATCCACTACATATAATGGAATGTATACCAGTATAAATCCACTGCATATAATAGAATATATATCAGTATAAATCCACTGCATACAGTGGAATGAATACCAGTATAAATCCACTACATATATAATGGAATGTATTCAAGTATAAATCCACTACATATATAATGGATTGTATTCCAGTTTAAATCCACTAAATATAATGGAATGCATACCAGTATAAATAAACTACATATCATGGAATGTATTCCAATTTAAATCCACTACATATAATGGAATGCATACCAGTATAAATACACTACATATAATGGAATGTATACCAGTATAAATCCACTACATATAATGGAATGTATACCAGTATAAATCCACTACATATAATGGAATGTATACCAGTATAAAGCCACTTGTGTATGTCATGGATTGTCGTTGATTATTTATGTTGCCATATTCTTCTGTTAATCAGACGTAAAGTTTTTAAAAGCTAATTCTTGTCTTGTGCTTTGAAAGGAAAGTCCTGGAATATGTGCACACTGTAGTCTATTATTTGAGAGATGATAATACGGCAGATGTGAATGAAGTTCTGAAAACAATCCATGGTTTTGGAGATATTCTACTTTAAATCCCAACGCATCCCAATGTCATATTTACTGTGTGTTGTACTGGCATATTTACAGAGGAAAATTTTCAGTTCTGGTTGTTTTGGGATTAACACCTGTTTAAGCTCATAATATGCTATACATGGCTGCCAGTAAATCCGGTGGAGATAAAACCCTGAAAAATC